GGTTTAAAAAAACCATATGAAAACAAATTTAATTTAATTTTCAAAAAAAAATAAACTATCACTCAAAATAGCCAACACAATATTAAAGGAGAAGAACAAAGCTGGAGGACTGACACTTCCTGACTATAAGACTTAGTATAAGATTGGTATAAAGTTATACCAATCAAGACAGAGTGGTATTGCTGAAAAAAATAGACAAATATATCAATGAAACAGAATAGATCCACATAAATATAATTAATTGATTTTTCGTAAAGGTGGCTTTTCAACAAATGGTGCCGGAACAAGTGGACATCTAGACACAGACCTTATCTTTCATAAAATATCTCAAAATTGATTATAAAGATAAATGTAAAATGCAAAACTATAAAATTCCTAGACTATAATAACATAGGTAAAAATCCAGATGATCCTTGATATGGTGATGACTTTTTAGATATAACACCAAAGGTACAATCCGTAAAAAATAATTGATATGCTGGACTTCATTAAATTAAAAACTTATGCTCTAGGAAAGACAATGTAAACAGAATGAGAAGATGAGCCACAGACTGGGAGAAATTTTTTTGCAAAAGACACATCTGATAAAGGACTATTGTCCAAAATATAAAAGAACTCTTAAAACTCATCAGTAAGCAAACAAAGAACCTGATTTTTAAAATGGGCCAAAGACCTTAATTGACACATCATCAAAGATGTTAACAGTTGGCAAATAAGCATATGGAAAGACTACACATCATATGTCACCAGTGAGAAGCAAATTAAAACAACAATGAGGTACATGTCATATTTATTAGAATGGCCAAAATCCAGAACACTGACAACCTGAAATGCTGGTGAGAATGTAGAGCAGCAAAATTCTCACTTATTGCTTGTATGAATACAAAATGGTACAGCTACTTTGGAAGACAGTTCGTTGGTTTCTTACAAAACTAAACATATGCTTTCCACAAAATTCAGCAATAGCACTCCTTGGTATTTACCCAAGGGAGTAGAATACTATGTTCACACAAAAACCTGCACAAAGATCTTAGAGCAGCTTTATTCATAATTGCCCCAAATTGGAATCAACTAAGGTGTCATTCAGTAGGTGAATGGATAAATGATAACTGTACAATAAAATATTATTCAGTGCCCCAAACTAATGAACTTTCAAGCCACAGAAAGACAGGGAGGAATCTTAAATGCATATTGCTAAGTGAAAGAACCCAAAATGAAAATGCTTCATACTAAATGGCACATACTATATGATATTTTGGAAAAGGCAAAACTATGGAGGCAGTAAAAAATCAGTAGCTGCCAGAGGCTGGGGTGGGGGAGGGATGAATAGGCAAAGTATGGAGGATTTCTAGGGTGGTGAAAATACTCTGTATGATGATGGATACATGTCATTATACATTTTTTCCAAATCACAACACTATGCACTTTGGATGATCATGATGTGTCAATGTAGGTCGACCAGTTGATACAAACACACCACTCTGGTGGGGGATGTTGATAATAGAGAAGGCTATGCTCATGTAGGCCCGAGATATATAGGAAATCTCTATATCTTCCTCTCAATTTTTCTATGAACCTAAAACTGTTCTAAAAAATAAAGTGTAAAAAATGTAAAAGAAATTGTCCTGGAAAAGTTCTCAGTAATGTCTAGATCTACTTGTGGAAACAAAATCATGAGGTGCTTTGGAACAGATCTTTTTTGAGAAAAATCTCCGGAGTGTCCTTTAATTGTGATGCATTAGGCATTTATCCAGGTCAGAAAGGCAGCCTGGAGCTGACACCTGTTGCTTTGTCTACCTGCCACTTTATTTTGGAGGAATTACATCACAAATTCTAGAAACTGTCCTCTGTATCTATATGGATTTAATGGGATCTTTCATATTTTTCAATGACCCCGTTCATAATAATTGAGCACTTGACCCCAAATGGACTGATTATAGTTCCCTAAATGCCATGAATTTAGGACATAGGAAGAGTCTTGAACTCAAGAAGTAGCAAGGTCAGTTATTTTTAAATAAACAAATTCAATTAATAGAGCTTGAATATGTTTCATAGAATTCTTAGTACATCAGAATGTTATCTCTGAGTAGGGTCAAGTGCTATCACTTCTCTGCTATACTAGTCAAAGTTTGCTAATAGCATACAGGGTAGAGCAAAAGTAGGTTTACAGTTGTTCATTTGGAAAATAATACAGTAACTAATAAATAATAATAGAAGAAATTATGTTTTGTATACTCACAACTGCAAACCTGCATTTGCCACACCCATATATAAATGGAAGCATTTATTTGTAGAGTTAAGAACAGCTGGGATAAGTAAGAATGCCACCAAATCATTGAATTTCAATATGAATTCTATCTACAGTAGTTAAGTCTAAATTTGGGGTGATGGATGTGTTAACTAACTTTATTGTGGTAGTCATTTCACAATAAATGCATGCATCAAATCATCACATTGTACACCTGTAACTTACACAATGTTATATGTCAATTATATCGCAAGAAAACTGGAAAGTTGAAGTCTAAATTTGATTTTTATATCATTAAGGACTCTTGATTTTAAGTGGTAGAAAAAAATAAAGATTTTTTAAAATAGAATTCTTTGATGCATATAATTAAAAATCTGGGATTATATTTATCTTTATGTATTTCTTGAACCAGAATGAGCTCAATGTCTCACTTCTCTGTCTTCCTGTGCCAATTCCATTCTCTGTCAGGCTCAACCTTTATACTGCAATGTGGCTACATCTTCATAATCCCAAGATCAGTGGAAAAGAGGAAGTTCTTCTCCCCCGCATTAAATATAAAGATCTAGAGTGTTATTCTAAATATAAATCTGTCACAAACCCATCACTGAACAGACCACTGGGCCCATAGGAAGATCTAATATACAGGGCAGGTTAGCCTAGGTTATGGTATGATATGCAAAAACCTAATAACCCAATGGCTATAACAACAGTCCTTATGTCTCTCACAGGCTCTGTGGCCATCAGAGGCAGGGTGCTTCTTAGTCATCCTCACCCCCGGACTCACCCTGAAGGGCAACCACTGTCTGCTGCTGTCATGGTGGCAGAAGAAAGAGTTTGGCTGGACCCACATTAGCAACCATATGCCTCACCTCACAGTGACATATACTTCCTTTATTCACTATTCATTAACCAGACAGAATCGTCACAAGCCCCGCTCAACCACTGGGACAAGGAAGTACAACCCTTACCATGTACTCAGAATGGGAAAATTTATTTTTTTTCCCAAACAGCATTAATAAATGCCTAATGCACTATTTGGCTCAAGTTACCTAGACCTGGGAGCATAGTCAGCCCCACTACAATTGAGACCCTATATGTCTTCACAAAAAAATTTAGCCTATTGGTAGAAAAAAGTAAGAGTTGCCATCAGAAAACAAAACAAAACAAAACAAAACAAAACAAAACAAAACAAAAAACCCAATATCACATTTAATTAAGTCAGTTTCTAGTAAATGACTGAAGTTTTGGATTCAGTATGAGTGTATTTTCCTATGCTAGTAAATTATTAACATGAAGAGTTATAAACCAAAAGCCAAAAACTAAATGTCATTTTCTCCCCATCCTCCTAATTCTAATCTGGTTGACCCCTGAAGGATCAACACAGTCTAAAGTTTTCACAGTAGACATTTTAAATCTAGTTCAGTTGCTAATTTATAGATCATAAACAGTGCAACCTGTGACACTAAGTTAGTTTTAAACCCATAACTAATTCTATTAAAAAATAAAGATGTGTGAGTCACACTTGGATTTTCATTTTTTAGTACCTAGCTAGAATGGTTCTTTTCGTTGTAGTTGCAGCATCATTAGATTGGGGGTTTTATTTTTCCTGCAAGATGTTCAGTATCAAGGGTTTTCTTCCTTTGGTTGTGAAGAACAGATATCCATTTAAGTGAATTTTAAAAAAAAAGGAATCTACTGTAAGGCTACCATAGGTAATCTCTGTTTTCTCCATCTCTAGGACTATACTGACTTTTTTCATTTTCATTTTTCTCCTCTTCTTCCTTAGCATCTGCCCTTCCATTTTCTTTCATAATGATCTCTCTGCTCGTTCACTTTCATAGCCCAGGGCATGACAATCAAAGGACAATGACAAGTTACAATCTCTAGACCTTTTAGTCAAATTCCAAAGAAAAAGAATCAAATTCACTGGGTGTTGGAAACTGGTCTTCTGTTAGTCAAATCAGTTCTGGTTGGGGGGAAAGTATCACATGGTACATATCACTGCTTCTTTCAGGGCTTTTGGGTGGGTCAGTTAAGCAAGAAGAATTGTACAGAAAGCTAATTGGCTAAGACTACTGTAGGAATTAGGATGCAAATATTAATACCACTTATGGTTACTGCAATTATAAGTGCTTTAAATATTAACTTATCGAATCCTATAATGCAGATACTATGATTGGTCTCATATTATAGATAAGAAAACTGAAATACAGAGAGATTTAAAAAAAACTCGCCAATGGTCATGCAGTTACTGAAAGTACGCAGTCTTGTTCAGAGTCTGTAGTCTACCTTTCATGCTATACTACTTCTCTACTACCCTAAAGCATCCAAGTTTACATCAGAGAGTTTATTAATGTTTTGGGGGCTGTTCTCTTAACTCTTTTGCCAGTAGTAAAATGCTTCTCAATCTCCAAAACTCATGTTGAATACCAGGAATATCAGTATTTTCACTTAGCAAGCTTTCCTGAGCACCTTCCTTCTGCTGCTGAACCACCGTGCACTGATGACCTGAATTACCACACGGATTACTTTGTTCTGTAATGGAATAATATTGTAATACTATGAGGTTCTGTAGAGAAAGGGTGATATGTTTCTTATCTTTATATTCAAGGTGCACAGCATAATTAGTGGCACATAGTATATACTTAATGAATTGTTATTAAATTATTCACTTAATGAAAAACATAAATGCACTAACTACGATTTGTGCTATATAGATTTTACCAATTTCTCTTCTGCTATCATTACATAGGACAAAAAGTGCTTCTATAAGAAAACCCGGGAACAATGCCTGTGAATCTTTGAAATTACTGGGATTCAGAAGCCGAGACAGTGGCTGGTTTGGGCTTGATGGTGTTGCGGTGAGAACCATGCAGAGTGGCTTGATATCATTTGAATTGCGTGAACACTTAGAGAGGTAATACAATAGTAAACAATAAAAGCTGATGGTGTTCTATCCCAATGATTTATTATTGGTTTTACGAAAATGGGATCATAGGATTACATTTTTATTCTTCAGATAGGAGTATGAATAGTCCCTTAGGGTGTGCTTAAAATGCTAAAATGCAAACCAGAGCTGACATGAATATGCTATCTGTAATTTCATTTATGATAGTTTAATAACTGCTTTTGGAAACCACTCATAACTTAGATTTATTTTTACAGGTTGCTTCTAACTCCAAAATAGCTTTAAAATAGCACCTTCATTTCTGAAATTCCATGACGATAGTAATTAACTGTTCATAGTACGCTCATCTCATAACTATGTATTTATAAACTGAATTTGTTATTTCAGTGTCCTCATTTTGCTTTCTCATTTCCATGCTTTCTAGACAGCTCATTACGAGAAGAGCTTTAGACCACTGTAAGGTTGATGAGAAGTAGACATTCATAAAGAGAGGGCAATCATATGATAGACTTTACTTCTTGTGTCTACAGCTTGTGTCTACAATTGTCTTGGGTCAGGTTCGAGTCTAAGATGTAAATGCAAATGATTTATTGAAAAAGGGCCCTCAGGTGAATCCTGAAAGGGAATAAAAGAAGCAACAAGGCTTTGCAGTGTGACTACCAAGGTGTCTGGCTTTCCACCCCTGTGTCAGTCAGTCCTTGTCTCTGGGCGTGGGGCTGCTTTGGATTGAGGGTTCCTGCCGGGCAGTTCCCTGGAGAAGGGCTGGATGATGGATGATCCAACCAAGGGGAGGGGTCTGTATTAATTTGCTAGGCTCCCAGAATAAAGTAGCAAAAAACTGGGAAACTTAAACAACAGAAATTTATCGCCTTAGTTCTGGATGCTAGAAGTCCAAAGTCAAGGTGTTGTTAGCAAGGTGCATTCTTTTTGAGGACTGTGAAAGAAGGACCCGTTCCAAGGCTTTCTCTTTGGCTTGTAGATTGCTGTTGTTATGTCCACCAGGCATTGATTCTGTATGCATATCTTTGTGCTCCAAATTCCTCTTTTTATGGCACCAGTCATATCAGATTGGGGCCCATCTTAATGACCTCACATTAACTTCACCTCTGTAGACCCTATCTCCAAATAAGGTCACATTCTGAGGTACTGGGTTTTAGGATTTCAACATATGGGTTTGGGTAGAGGGGACACAATTCAACTCATAATAATTCAAACCATCATAATAATTCTTACAACACCTGACAGAGAGGAATATTTCAACCCCTAGTTACTGATGATATACATATTCTGAATCTTATTGCTAGTAAATAGATTATTTTGATCATCATTCTCTTCTATATTTTGAAATACTTATTAGTAATGCTAATTAAAACATAATTTAAAATATGCTGCCATATTTAGAGCTGAGCTGAGACTACAAAATTTCTTTGTTTAAGAACATCTGTTGTAGAATTTGGTTTGATTTGAGCTGGTTTCCTGACTGTCCAGAGTTTCATTAAAGTCATTCATGAATCTAACCAGTTGGTCATCAGAATGCTTGATTTTGCCCTAGCCGGTTTGGCTCAGTGGATAGAACCATGGACTGAAGGGTCCCAGGTTCGATTCTGATCAAGGGCCCCAGTGGGGGGCGTGCAGGAGGCAGCCAATCAATGATTCTCTCTTATCATTCATGTCCCTATCTCTCTCTCCCTCTCCCTTCCTCTCTGAAATCAATAAAGGTATATTAAAAAAATTTTTTTAAAGAATGCTTGATTTTAAAGGAAATTTAGATGACAATGGCTCCTTTCCTGGGTGTTATTAGTCATCAGTGATATTTTTGAGACTGTATGTTTCCCTTCGGTCATGTCTCTTCTCTCCCATGCAGGTTTATTGTGGTCCACCTGTCCTCCATTGTGGACAATAGCCATTTGGTTTCTTTTGTGAAATCTTTAGAGGAAGCCATGCTCAGCACCAGTGCCTGCATTGTACTGTATCACCGGAAAGACAGTCCACACCGAGTGGTTATCTCAGTGGTGCCTTCTAAAGATCTAAACCAGGAGCTGAGGAACTTGCGCTTGGAAGCCTGCAGTGGTCCTCCAGAGCCATCTCGCCATTTCCAGGTGAAAGAAGGAGAACAACTTCTTTTAAGGTTTACTGGAAACATATTTGCTTCAAGTAAGTATAAAGACATCTTTTTGCATATTCTACAGGCTATCAGCCACAGACTTCGGAAGGAGTTTGCTCAACTTGTATTCCTAGGAAAACTTCTGAGGACTGAGAGGCTTCTGAAGAGCAGGGAGAGAAAGAAACTCATTTACTTCTTTCTTTCCAGTCTCTTCCTTTGCTTTTTAGGGGAGGCATTCTCCTTTGTGGGCAGACTCTAAGGGACATTCTTAGAAATCGTCTTCTCTATGATTACTCTCTGAGTCCATGCTAGGGTCATCTCTTTCCTCCACCAAAGCAGTTGCCTCCTAAATACTCCTCTTTCTCCACTATTAGTCACAGGAAATCCATTTCCATATTGTGACAACAGTGACCTCTTATAAATAATACTTTATTACTCTCCTGATTAAAACCTTATGATTACCTCCTATTCCACTTAAAATAATACCCAAATCTTGTTGTCTTACAATCTAACCTGGGGTCAATAGACTCCTAAGAGATATGTGGATAGAACTATATTCCAGTACAACTGTCTTATTTATAATTCCACTTATTTTATTTTACATATTTAAAAGACTGCTCTGAGAAGGAATCAACAGGTTTCACCAAAGTCCAAAAGGGTTCATGAATAAAAGTGGGCTGGTACCTCTAATCTGGTGACACACCCCTGCTTCCTGCTGATCCTCATATTTATCTAGTGTTTTTTTTTTTAATCTAGTGCTTTTTGTTTCCACTATAAATCTTGTCACAAGTTGGAATTATTTTACTTATTTAATTGTTTACTTATGTTTCATTCATATGCTTATGCTGTGTCCTAGTTCATCAAAGGCTTTCAATAAATGTGATGATGCTGAGAAAAAACAAACAGGGTGAGTGAATCTGAGAGGGGGCAGGAGAGGTGAGAGAAGTGAGGGAATCAATGAGAAAGAAGAGAGAAAAGGAAATGAAGAGAATGAGAAAAGGAAGGAAAAGGAGAACAGAGAAAACAGCTGAGTAAGAGAAGAGAAAAAGATTCAGGGGGAGCTGCCATCACAGAAATTTTTATTTATTTATTAATTCAACCCCTTCTCTTCTCTAACTCCTCTCTTTGAGGTGGAATAGAATCTAACAGGTATGCATATAAAAATGAGGTGTGAGCTCTAGCTGGTTTGGCTCAGTGGATAGAGTGTCAGCCTGCAGAATGAATGGTCCCGGGTTCAATTCCGATCAAGGGCACATGCCTGGGTTTCGGGCTCAATCCCCAGTAGGGGGCGTGCAGGAGGCAGCTGATCAATTATTCTCATCATTGATGATTCTATCTCACTCTTCCTCTCCCTGCCTCTCTGAACTCAATAAAAAAATATTAAAAAAAAAAAAAAGATGAGGTGTGAGGGAGAACGCAGGGATAGGTTTCTGGGCCAGCAGTCTTGTAATAGACATAACTTGGAGTAATATTCTCTGTTGACTTGTAAATTAATATAGATCCCATTGATTTTTAATGCTGCCTATTTTTCTCTCTGATTCTGGAAATTTCTGCAAGCCCCATGGGCTCTTTGTTGCATCAAAAATGATGCAGCTTGAAGGCGAGGCTGTTGTTTTTCTGATGTCTCTGATGTAAGTGAGAACCAAAGTGTCCCAATTTGAAGTATCTCTTCCACTCTCACATGCAGAGTCTCAGCCATCTGATTCAACTGCCAGGACTTAGAGAGTGTCAGGGATGTCAGAAAAGGGAAAAGGGAGGAGAAGAGGGGGAGGAAGGAAGGGTGGAAGAAACTCTTCTTCCTACTTGGCAGCCGGAGCAGGAATCATGGTGTCCACCGTGGGACAATCTCTCTAAGAATAGAGAGTCAAACACTGGAAGTGGCCCACCCAAATGAATGATGCAAATGATTTTCCTGTAATACTTGGGACAGCAGCTGTGTTTACCTACTGCCCTAAACAGGAGTGAGTTACTGTGCTTCTTATGGGCAGTGGCACTGAGTGTACTTTTGCCTGTAATGCCAGGGAGCATGTGCTAAAACAAGAGTTCCTGAAGATAGCCAGTGTGTGTGCAATTCCCCCTGAATGAGGAACAGAGAAGAGCTCATCTTCACTCAAAGAAAATGAGTCAGACAGGATGCCAGAATCAGTTCTGCTTTGTCTTTTCTAGAAACCCATGTTCAGTTCTGAAGTCTCACTGCTTTTTTGTTTTTACTCTGTTTAAGAGAAGCCAGGAGTAAGGAATTGTATTCATCTTTGCATCAGGGCCTGGGTCCTTCCTGTGAATCTCATGAAGTCAGAGGCTGTGTGCCTAGGGTTCTCCTCCCCACCCATCCCACCCCTACCTGCAACTATCTCCGCCTGCATCTTCATCTCTCACCTTGATGATCGTGTTCAGAGATGCCTTCTTTCCAGTCCTTATTTTACTTCTTCAGAGTCTATGTGCTTCTTTTTTTTTTTTTTTGTGGATCTCGCCATAGATGCAATCTTCTACTTATTCATTTAATTGTTGGTCATTGACAGTTTCTCTGACTACAGTCTCACGAAGGGAGGGTGTGTCTTGTTATCAAGCACCATTCAATCCCCAGCACCTAGGACGGTGCCTGACAGTTAGAAGGAGTGTATTGAGTATTTGTTGGAAGAATGAAGACAAAAACGTTTGAAAGGACTTAACACAATAGCATTGTGCAATTAAGTGTTTAAAACTTTAGTACATTTAGATGACTGCTCTCTGAGAAATGTCACAATCTCTATATTCATTATGTAAAATAGAGATGACTTCTTTGAGTGAGGACCATGGGACATGGATTTTATTTAACGTCTAAGAGAAAAATAGATCGATAGGCAGTCCCCTTGGTTTTTATATTGACCTTTGGTATTCTGCACACAAGCCATAGTGTGCATTGTCTCAGTCAGAGCTGTCAATTCAGCACGTAAGCTTTTTACTGAATGACATAGAAGCCCCCAGTACTTACAAAATCCAGAAGGTGCTGGGAAATGGGCAGACCAAATTTAAGGGGGCTACTTTTGTCATACAAATCCAAAACAATGAAAAATTCTGCTTATTATCATTTGCTATCATTTATTGAGCACATTATAGGCAAGGCCCTGTGCCAAATATTTTTTATCCATATTATCTCACTTTATTCCCAGAACAAACCGAGGAGGTAAGTTTTATTTCTCCCTTTTTAAACATAAGAATGTTAAGTAAAGCTCGAAGAAGCTCAGGGATGTGAAAGAACTGGATAAATATGACAGCGTACGAAAGTAGTAGTGGCTGGACTGGGATCTATGTCTTTATGGCAAAAACATATTATACCTGATGCATTATACCTGGCTAAGGGTAATGCAGACATGCCTTAGGGAACGTGGTAGTGTCTGTTTATGGTTGCTGTGATGAAGCAAAATAATCCTGACTGTCATGGTAAAACCCCCATGGGTGAAAGGTTATGTTTACTAAAGCTTCATTATTTTCAGTGTGAAGACTTTGGCATATCATTGTTTGGGGGAATTCACCAGGTTTTAATAGAAATTCCAGAAATGTGACTCTAATAACCATTTCATGTAGAAGTTTTCGAACAGCACTGCCTATTTCTGCGATGGTGGAAATATTTTACCTCTGCACTGCCCAGTAATGTAGCTACTGGACAATTTTGGCTAATGAACATTTGAAATGTGGTTAGAGTGACTAAGGAATTGCATTTTAACTTTAATTAATTGTAACTTTAATTTAAAAAGCCACAGGTTGCTAAGTGGCACCGGATCTGGAGTGTCACTACGAGGTCATGATAGTGTGCACTATGATATAGAAACGGGAAAGGAAAAAAATAACAATTCTTGAAAGGTGAAAATAATTTTTTAAACACAGGGTGAGCTGACTATTTCTAATTGTTTCTTGGTATAGCAAAATGTAATAGAAAATGAAAGATTATTAGACCTAGAAGCAGGTGGAGATTCCTTGGTCTAATTACAGATAAGAAATCTTTTGAGTAATTTACACAGTCTCAGGGTCTATTGCTGCTGCTTTGTCAGGATACATTTTGACAAGAGGTAATGACACCAAAAACGCTTTAAGTGCATTAAAGAATTACATGATTATTTGGATTTTTAAAATGTAAGACAAAGTGGTATATCTTACTAATAACAAGTGCATTTTACTTCTATGTAGGCAATGGGAAGGATTATGGAAAAGACTACAAGCTTATTTTTCATTTACAAAGAAAACCCAGGCTGGAACTCCAAATCAAAGAGGTGGATGAATTTGGCAACTACAGCTGCTCTCATTATAAGGGCACTGTTGTAGTTTACAAACTACCTAAACAAAAGACAATCCACAACTTGGACCAATCTCTCATACTTAATGAAAACCATTATCAGTTGCCAGTGTGTAAATTACCATTGAGACTACCAAAGGTGAGTTCTTTTACTCCCCTAATTACCATATTTTGTTAATTATTTGTAATGCTCTAGCACAATCAAAACTTCTGCACACGGATACTTGAAGTTAAAAGGAAAGGTAACAATAAAGTTGATAAGGAAGAAGTGGGTAGCAACAATTTTAGAGTGTAGAATGCATACCAGGGTTCCCACTTTCATATAAACTTTCTAACAGGAACAATTCAAGTTGAGTTGATCCTGATAGTATGTAGTTAATGACTATGGAAATCATGTCATTCAGTTTCTGTAACTGCATTTGAGTGACTGGGAGATCATTATGAAAACATTGGATATATTTTGGAGTACAACCCTTTGAGGAAAAATTATGTGGTGAGCATGGAAATGACATCAAAATATTTTCACCAAGATTTACCAAATCCTGCACATTTTTTTTAAGAGTTAATCACTCTTATTTAAAACTAGAGGCCTGGTGCACAAAATTCAGCCTGGCCTACTCCCTCTCACAGTCTGGAGCCCTCAGGGATGTCTGACTGATGGCTTAGGCCTGCTCCCCTTGGGCCTAAGCCATCAGTCAGACATCCTTAGCGCTGCCGTGGAGGCAGGAGAGGCTCCTGCCATCGCCACTGTGCTCTCCAGCCATGAGCCCGGCTTCTGGCTGAGCAGGGGAGTGCACTGATCACCAGGGGGCAGCTCCTGCATTGAGCGTCTGCCCCCTAGTGGAAAGTGCGCATCATAGCAACTGGTCTTTCTGCTGTTCAGTTTATTTACATATTAGCCTTTTATTATATAGGACTAGAGGCCCGGTGCACAAAAATTTGTGCACTGGTTGGGGGGGGGGGTGTCCCTCAGCCTCACTTGTGCCCTCTCACAGTCTGGGACCTCTCAGGAGATAACGACCTGCTGGCTTAGGCCCACTCCCAGGTGGCAGAGGGCAGGCCCAATCCCTAGGTGCAGCCCCTGGTCGGGCTCAGAGCAGGGCTGATTGGGGGGTTGGGGCACCGCCCCCTGTCACACTCAAGGTAGGGTCGATGGGGAGGTTGCTGCACCACCCCCTGTCACGCACAGAGCAGGGCCGATCAGGGGGTTGGGGTGCTGCCCCCTGTCACGCATAGAGTAGGGCTGATAGGGGAGTTGGGGCACCGCCCCCTGTCACACACAGAGCAGAGCGGATCAGGGGGTTGGGGCGCCGCCCCCTGTCACCCACAGAGCAGGGCCGATCAGGGGGTTGGGGCACTGCCCCCGTCACACTCAGGGCAGGGCCTATGGGGAGGTTGCGGCTCCACCCTGTCACACACAGAGCAGGGCTGATCAGGGGTTTGGGGAGCTCCTCCCTATCAGGCACAGAGCAGGGCTGATCAGGGGGTTGGGGCGCCTTCCCCTGTCATGAACAGAGCAGGGCGGATAGGGAGGTTGTGGCCCCGCCCCCTGTCAGACACAGAGCCGCAGGGTGATCAGGGGGTTTGGGCTCTGCCCCCTGTCACACTGCTCCAGGGGCCAGGAGGCCTCGTGGCTCCGCTGATCCCGGTGCTGGGAGGCCTCGCGGCTCCGCTTGACACGGGCAGTGAGGCCTCGCTGCTCCGCTGATCCTGGTGCTAGGAGGCCTCGCTGCTCCACTGATCCTGGTGCCAGGAGGCCTCGTGGCTCCGCTGATCCCAGGTTCGGGAGGCCTCACGGCTCCGCTGATTCCGGTACTGGGAGGCATATTACCCTTTTACTATATAGGATAGAGGCCTGGTGCACGGGTGGGTGCCAGCTGGTTTGCCCTGAAGGGTGTCCTGGATCAGGGTGGGGGTCCCACTTGGGTGCCTGGCCAGCCTGGATGAGGGGGTGATGGCTGTTTGCAGCTGGTCACACCCCCTTCAGGGTGGGGGTCCCCACTGGGGTGCCTGGCCAGCCTGGGTGAGGGGATGATGGCTGTTTCCAGCTGATCACACCCCCTTCAGGGTGGGGGTCCCCACTGGGGTGCCTGGCCAGTCTGGGTGAGGGGCTCAGGGCCGTTTTCAGGCTGGCAGGCGACTGAAGCTCCAAACCTCTCCTTTTTTTCTTTTTTCTTTTTTATTCTTGGATTTATTTACCTTCTATGGCTGTCACTGGAACTGAGAGCCGGCTTTCTCTCTGAGGCTCGGCTCCAGCTCTGAGACCTCGGCTGCTGAAAGCAGGTATCTGGTTTGTTTGGGTTCTATAATCGAAACACTGTTTCAACCCCAGCTCTGAGGCCCGGCTGGCTGAAAGCAGGTTTCTGGGGTTTTGTTTAGCTTCTATATTTGTAACAATGTTTCTTAAACTGCAAGCTCAGAGGCTGGCAGCAGCAGGTGGGGAACGTTGGCTTCCTCCATCACTGAAGCAAGCAAGCCTCCTGTTCGCTTTGAGCTGCCTGGCTGCCAGCTGCCATCTTGGTTGGCAGTTAATTTGCATATTGCCCTGATTAGCCAATGGGAAGGGTAGCGGAGGTACGGCTAATTACCATGTTTCTCTATTATTAGATAGGACTAGAGGCCCAGTGCACAAAAATTTGTGCACTGGAGGGGGGGGGTCCCTCAGCCCAGCTTGCCCCCTATCACATACTGGGAGCCCTCAGGGGATGTCCTACTCCCTGCTCCCTGCTCCCCTTGGGGAGCGTGCCTAAGCCACAGTCTGGCCTCCCTTTGTGGGAGTCGACCGGGCTGATCAGGGGAAGACACCAGCCCCATCACCGCACTGTTGCAGCCACTGCCAGTCACGGCAGCCACCAAGGTGTTTTCATCAACACGGACTCCAGTCCCTTTACCATGAAAAAATGACAACTTTCTTTAGGCATTTTCAAGAAGTGTCTTTCATAGGATATGATCTTTCTTTCTTTCTTTCTCCTCACCTGAGGATATGTTTCCATTGATTTTTAGAGAATGTGGAAGAGAAAGGGAAAGACAGAGAAAAACATCAAAGTGAGAGGAACACTTTGATCAGTTGCCTCCTGCATGAGCCCTGACCTGGGCCCAGGCCAGGGAGGAGCCTGCAACCTAGGTACATGCCCTTGGTCAGAATTGAACCCAGAATCTGTGTTGGGCAGGCCGAGGCATTACCCACTGAGCCAATAGGGCAGGATATGACATTTCTTAACCCTCCAGCAGCAGACCTTCCTTTTTTTCTCCAGGAGTGTGGTAAAAAAACCCTAGATCACCTATTTGGACTCTCATTACCCAAGTTACTAAGAATATTACCAGTGGCATACAGGGAGCTTAACCAATCAGCAGTCAGAAAAGGTGTTTCCTCTGTAGTTCACACCAATTACCAGTTTGGCCCCTGCCCAGGCCTAACGCCTCTGGCGAGTCATTAGCCCTGGGCCGGGGCACCTCCAGCTCCCCCCCGCCCCCGCCACCGCCATCAATGATCGCTGGCTGGCTCCTCCCCGGCCCAAGCCTAAAGCCTAAGGCTGAGGTGATAGGCCTGGGCCGAGGCACCCAGCTCCCCGCCGGGGCGCCATCAACGATCGCTGGCTCAATGATCGCTGGCTGGCTCCTCCCCGGCCCAAACCCAAAGCCTCAGGCCTAGGTTTTAGGCCATGGCCGGGGCACCCCCAGCTCCCTGCCGCTGCTACCATCAAGGATTGCTGGCTGGCTCCTCCCCGGCCCAAGCCTAAAGCCTCTGGCAAGTCATTAGCCCTGGGCGGGGCACCCCCAGCTCCCCGCCGCCGCCATCAAGGATTGCTGGCTGGCTCCGCCCCGTTCCCCACTGCTGCCACCATCAATGATTGCTGGCTGGCTCCTCCCCGGCCAAGCCTAAAGCCTCTGGCCCGAGGCATTAGGCCTTGGCCGGGGCACTGCCAGCTCCCCGCCGCCGCCTCCGCCATCAAGTCGAGGCTTTAGGCCTGGACCGGGGCACCCCCAGCTCCCTGCCGACAATCGCTTGCTGGCTCCGCCCAGGTTCCCCGCCACAGCTGCCATCAAAGATCGCTTGCTGGCTCCGCCCCGGCTCCCTGCTGCCGCCACCATCAAGGATCGCTGGCTCAAGATCGCTGGCTGGCTCCTCCCTGACCCAGGCCTAAAGCCTCAGTCCATGGCTTGGGGCTGACATATGCAAATTAGCCGCCATCTTGGCTGGCTAATAATTTGCATATCTCGCTGATTAACCAATGGGAAGGGTAGTGAAGTTACGGTTAATTACCATGTTTCTCTATTATTAGATAGGATTCTTACTCTTATCAGGAAAGTAGGATTGAATTGTTTCTCCAAACAACAAAAAATTTTATTACCATACATACTATTTCTTTTAGTGATCCATGGCTTAGTACTTCTAAATAATACTATTAATGAGAAAATAACTGAAAAAGTTGTTTTATCACTCTAGAGGAAGAACAAACTTATTCTTTAAAGATGCCAAGATTATTTTTCCATGTTTTTTTCTTTTTTGTGTTATGACTAACAGGAATATATTTTCTATTGGGTTAGATTTTGTAATGATGTTAAATAAATCAGTAAAGTAATTACTTTGACAAATATTCATGGAACTTTGGAAATAGGGAATGTGTCATGTTAGACAGGATGACAAATACAGAGCTAGAGAGGGTACTTCATGCCCTAAAGCTGCTTTGTCCTGAGTGGTAGCCACTATGCACACATGCCTATGGAGCACTTGAAATATGGCTCGTCCGAATTGAGATGTGCTGTATGTGTGAAAGACATACTGGATTTCAAAGACTCAGTACAAAGAAATGTAAAATATTTCATTAATAATTTATGTTAGTTACCTAATACTGTAATACTTTGGTTAAATAAAATACATTATTAAATTAATCTCATCTGTTTTTTTAAAAATGTATGTGACTAAAATAAAATACATAAAATTACTTATGTGTCTGAAGCTATATTTCTATGGGACAGCACTGCTGTAAGTGATTTACAATCTAGTGGGTTTGCAAAACAAGTATACAAATCACCTTGTAAGGGAGTAACAGATGAAGCTATGGCATAAACAGCAGTAGTAACAGTTGCTCAGAAGAGGGAACTGGCCTTCTTGGAGGCTGAAATCAGAAGTTTCAT